GATTAGGAGTTTAAACATTTAGAAAATGCAAAGTAAACAATAGCCACCATGTGCTTTAAAAAAATGGCATACTTGCTGTCACTTTAACTCTTTTAGCAGGAAGACTACAGAAATTCCTTAAGACACAAGCGATGGCTGCACTTAGACACTATTCTGCATTGATTACAGATGTTTATAGTGAACAAATCCAATCTGAAATCAGTTATGCTTAAATCGTTATGGAGCTGGACAGGACTCTAACATGAGGTGTTGTGCATTGATCATAACGTTCCATGTCTGCTTTTATTTTGAAGTCTAGACACCAAAGAGAAGACAGGAAATGGTAAGGGGTTGCCATGGTAAGGAAAGCTGGAATTGGACCCAAATTCCTTAGCAGTTTAACATAAAGATAGACTAGATGCATCTTATGAACTGTTAGCAACAACATCCTGTAAATGGAAATGTTCGCCATGTTTGGGTTGATTGAAAACATACTGTAATGAAATAAAAAATTATGTATAATAACCATAAAAATGATATGCATAATAACTGGCAGTTTATTAACTTTTTCTCGCTTTATTCTGAAACAGAAAACCCGAAGAACAAATGATACACAGATTTAACACTATAGTTTTATATAATAGTTTTGTAAAGAGCAAACTGAACTACCAAGGGGTCTTAGACTTTAATTATTGTCTAAATTGTCTCAAATGACAACAAATCAAGGTCCAGCTGTATTAGGATTGGAAATTGTATGATTTAGGTGATTAATGCATCTGTATGGAAAACGAGAAGAAAGAAATATGCAGTAATTTTATAACCCTCATAGTTATTTTCCACTCATCTGCAGTCTGTCAAATCAATATCTTTAAATGCGACAAATGAATCAGACTGAAAATGGTCCATTAAAACCAAATGACCCCAGATTTAAACCTAAACAGAAAAATCAATGAATAAAACATTCCTGTAGCCCCTCAGAGGGTTCATAAATCCGGATCTATTTACCACTGTTGGGTATATATGCCTCCTGACGAATGGCAGAGGAAGAAATACACAAGTGTTGTACTATTAATATCACAATATTGTAGACATGAAACCCATGAAGGATGGAGTAGAGGAGGAGAGGGGTAAGTGAAAGCATAAATACTATCTGACTTTGTGCAAACATGTAGAATGGAAATGTCATTTAACCCTTAGACACGAGCCCTTTGAGGCTGCGGGGGTGTGTGAGAATGTGTGTGTGCTGGTTCAGAGGCAGAGCAATGAGGTACAGCTTAGCTGATATGAATTGACGGCTGCTGTCAGTGCTCTTACTGCTTTCAATAAAGTCAAAGCCTGTGTGTGATTTGCTCTGCTGTGGATGTAAATATGCTCCTCGTCTGCCTCCATCCTGTCTTCCAGCTGTTTTTTGTTTCTGGTTTTTCTTTCTGATTCACAAAGTTATAAAAATGTTTGTTGTTCTAGTTCTTTATTTTAGAACACCTACTAATGTCAAACATTGCTCTTTTTATGTTCAGACATCATATCTTCATACACTTAAAAAGAGGGTTTGATTCATGCATATTTTGATTACCAGCTGCAATACATTCTTGTGATGTTTCAAAGTAGTCCTGAAATAAATCTCTCCAGGCCTTACAGTAGGAGCCCTTTTTCTCCCTTTAAGTGTTTATAAATACAATTTCGGAGATACATTAAAGCAAACTAGTAAGACAAATTCTTTTTTCTCTTTAGTTTGATCTGATTTCCAAAATAAATGCAATGTTTTTTACAAATTGGGCAATAAATACTGTATATTTTGAACTAGTGGAACACATTGAAAACATGCAAAGTATGCTTTACTGTAGCATTTAACATGTGTTACATCTAAACCTGAGGACATGAAGAGGATGTTTTTGGACATCCTATTGACATTTAATTCAGAATATTTTATTAGACTTAAACAACTAAGAAACATTTTTTGTTTTGTTTTTTTTGAAAAAGCAAATTATTAGAGTTGATCAAGTGGTTGTTCATTTAAATATATATAAAGGATTTACAAGCTGGAGCTGGCCCTCAGACCTCAAACCAAGCAGGGAACAGTAAATCTGGATGAGGTCTGCGATGTACTGAGGTGCTGAGCCTCAAAAAACAATATTTTAAAATCAATTCTAAACTTAACAGGGAGCCAGTGCAAAGACATAAGGACTGGGGTGTTGTGTTAATGTTTTTTGGTGCCCGTTAAAAATAATTTGTGAAAGTGCTTTGTTGCTAATGCCCGAATAAAGTATGTTTCAGTAGTGCAGACGACTTGAAATATTCAAATGCACGACTTGCTCAAAATATTGTCTATAGTTCTAGAAGGTATATTGTGCTTTTTCAGTAAAGGCATGGCTTTGTTGTTATTTATTTAGCTTTTTAATGAGAAGGCTAATTTTTATCTATTTATACTAGATGATATTATTCTTACTCTTTGATAATGCCTTTAATTATTGCTGCTTGATACAGATGATCTTTAACCCAAAACAACACATAATACAGCTCAAGAGACTTTTTTCATCACTTCCTTTCTGCTGATTGTTTCCAAGAAGCTAAACTTTAGTTCTTTTTGGATAATCGCTGCTTTTTACCTTTTAAAATTTAAGGAAGTTGAAAAAATTTGGGCTGGGTGTGCTGATAAGAAAAGGGACATCTCTTTTTGCGGCCTGGGATGCTTTTACTTGAAAAGCAAAGATCTAGGAAGAGATAGGAAAAGGAAGAGCCCTCATAGGAGCATTGATACATCATGGAGTAGAGAGGAGAGAAGTGACTTGAGCATTGAAGTGACAGGTTGCTGTCAGAACAAGAAGACCCTTGAACATAGACGAGGACAGGGTGAGTGACCCAATGTTAATGTCACCACAGATGACTAAGCATGGTCATTTGTACTTTGAGTTTTTTCTGAAAGGAGTTTTGTGTCCAGTGAATATGAGTGTATTTCAGATTATGTCAAAAGGGAAGTGAGAGACAACATTTCTAAATGTGTTTTGTCAGTATTTCTGTGGTTATGAACAGTTTTTTGCCCTGATTTGACCCAGCATCAAAGTTTGAACAGTTCCACTTCCCTTTCTTCCACAGATTAATGAAAGGCCACTAAGGAAACATGTTGCTTTTTGATAGTTGCGTCTAAAGCTTGGATTGGTGCTTTCTATCCTACATAAACCAACTGCAGCATTAACTGCTGTCTGCACAGACATGTGTGTCTGTAATGACCTGTGTATAAAGAATCACACATGATAGGCCATTTTCAAGGCCGTTATGGTGTTATTGAAAAATCAATTTTAAAGCTCCTTCTTTTTTAATTCACAGTTTTTTCTGTCTGTACTCTGTTGGCTTAGGTGTGGGAAGATATCAAACGGAATAAAAGAAGTCTGCAGAGAAAAAAAATACAAAAACTTTCCCTTATATTTGAATTCCAACTAAAATGTACTTCAACCATCAGGGATATTTGTCTGCTTTTTGTAAACACACCACAATAATTTATTTATGTGATCTGTTTAAATTTTTTTGTTGTAGGAAAATACCATATTTTTTGTGCCTTTCTGGGATAGCTGATTGCAAGGGAAGAGCTTTCCTTCGAATTAAAAAATGTCTAAAAACTTAAGCGAACCAACAAACTATAACACCTTAAAAGGAGTTTTTAATCATTTTATCTGAGTCTACTGCCTCATGCCAGCTGCAGCCAATGGTCTGTCTTACTTTTACTACTTCAAAAAAAAAATAACTGTTGTTTTTTTCTGTTTTTGAAACCCAAATTCAAAAATATCATATTGAAATAATTAAAAATCCACTCTTTATTTTTTCTTTAGCCATTCTAATCACACATAAGAATATAAAAGACATATTTTTAGTGATCTTGTTCCAGAAGCTGATTGGCAAAATGGCTGGAGGTTTAAATCCATCCTATCAAAAGTCATTAATTGAACTAAATAAATAAACTAAATAAACTTTAGACAGAAGCAAAGTGTTTTTATCACTAGCATAGTAACATAGGAGATTTTAGGTACAGCCCAATTTAATCCAATATTATTTGTTTGGCTTGATATCCAATATATATATTGGATTAGGACATATCGTATAGGCAATATAGAATAAAGTCATTTGTGGTGCAGCTTACCGGTAAAGTTCATTATTATTTCTAGTAGGCAATGCCTGCCCAAAAGAAATAAGCAATTCCTTTTGGACAGAGTCTTCCTTTTATGTTACAGCTTTTAATAAAAATAGTGCACAGTGTTTGTTCAACTACTCTAGTCTGTTTTAAAATATTGTTTTGCTGCTGATTAACCTATAAAATTATATTAGAATATGATTTCATCATAATCATGACTAAAATTTGCTGTATGAAAGGATGAGTCTGCAATCACTGCAGTCCATTTATTCATACTGTGGTAAGTCATATACACTATTAGGCATATAGATATAATCCCTTAGTAAAATACAAAAACTGTATCTAAACACTTCCTGAAACTGTTTATGGTAAATAAATAAATTCAATATGATTTTATACACATGTTGCGATAATATAGATAATAGCACAATTTAAAACAGTCTTCATGGCTGTACTGTAAAAACATAAGAGTATAATTTTTTTATTGTCTGTTTTGGTCTGAGGTAGAAACAGAGAGGATTATTATTGTTCATCAGTGCTTCTCAGGACCTCAGGGAGAACAAATCCACTGAAGGCTCAAATCGTTATTATTTGCAGCTCCTTTTCTGCTGTAGGCCAAAAGTGCAATGAAGTTTACATCACCTTTAAAGAATCTCTCTAATTTCCTCTCATGTAATGACCCGCTTTTATTGCTTTTTTCATTTTATGTGCTTGAATCCGCCTTAAATCACATTTGAACTAGTCTTTATTTTTAAATGCCGTCTAGCGGTAGGGCTTTTTTTTTTTTCACTTTAACGAGACATTTTTAGATCTGGGTTTAGCAGTAATTACAGACACCTTTTACGGTTACTAAGGTATCCTTTTAAAGAGGTTTCTTTTTTTCTCTGTCATCCTACAGGTTGTGGACCTTACCTGATTCTGAGCTGACCTAAAAGGGATAATTAATCCAAGGCCTGGATTCCTCAGTAACAATGGCTCCTGCAGCACCGTCCGTCCCTACATCTGCCTTCATCTCTCTCCAGCCATCCCGTTCTTCATCGTCTTCGCTTTTCTTCCTCCTCACCTCCCTCTTTGTCCTACTCTCCTGCCCTGCTCCAGTCCATGCAGATTCTTCAGGGAACTGTACGGCCAGTGGAGACCCCTGTCAGGAAGGTGGGTGTGGGGTATCGTTTTAGAAACTTCACTTTTGTACAAAATGGAAAAACTGACACAAATAAGCACATATTTAAACACTTTTTTTAAAGTTTCCAGTTTTTCCTCATATCCAATTTTACTCTATTGGTAACCGGCTATAATGAAGAAACGTGCTGTTGTGCTGATGATTCATAGATTTGCCTAATCTAACAATTTTAGAATTGATTGACTGAATGTGATAATAGTTTTACATCCCAATGAAACCAAAGCTAATTTGTTCTGTAGCTGCTAACAATGAAATATCTGATTAAAACTTGGTGCACAGCATGAATCTGACATATTAATGTTGTTTTTTATTAATATTATTATTGTTGTAAAATTAAATGACCCAGCAGAAACTGTCAGGTCATGCTTCTTTTTTTTTTTTGTATGATTATAAACAGCCTGTCTAATGTCTTTTGTATGAGATTTTCTCATTTCTCACTGCAGACTAAAAAGCCCCTGTCCTGGAACCCAGATTGAATTGTCCTTCATTAAATTTCAAGATTGAAAGCCCACTTAGTTCCTTGTATCACTGTTAAAATTCAGCTCCTTTCAAAATGTTTCAATATCTGATTTAGCTTTTGATAAATTCATCACCTGCCAGTCTATATCCCTGTTTTGGACTCATGCATCTATTTTGTACCTGTAACCAAACTATTTTTAAACAACATTACTCTCCATTTGAATTGATTATGCTGTATTATTTTATGTATGTGTGCAGCACTTAGCACATCAGATTTATTCTGGTGTTGCTTTTAATCTCATATTAAAATGTTTCAGATCTTAAAAACATTTATTAATATATATATATATATATATATATATATATATATATATATATATATATATATATATATATATATATATATATGGCTAAAAAGATCCTCATACTTTTTAGAAGTTTACAAAAATGTCACCTTTAACAAGATTCAATATTAAATGCCTGGGAATCTTCAGTTGGTTTAATCATAATTATGAGGCTTAAAGGAACACTAATATACATATATGTTTAAATAAAACTATATATTTTGATATATTTCTGTTAGTGAGATATTAATTGTTAGATTATGTCAGTTCTCTAATCTCATTGGTAAATCTTGCTTAAACTCTGAGTGTTGTTTTTTAAATTACTTTGTTGTGCAAACTAGACATATAGATCGATATCAAGGTTGTGTTGCCACTGCCTGTGCTTCAGGACTATCACATTTGCAGGCTACAGGTAAATGCACTGATTACAATCATTTGACTGACAATAAAAGGCAATTTAAATTTTTGTGTTTCAGGAGTCGTACTTCCTGTGTGGAATCCCCAGAATCCCTCTGTGGGAGATAAAGTGGCCCGGGCTATTGTCTACTTTGTGGCACTTATTTATATGTTCCTGGGCATGAGTATTATAGCGGACCGGTTCATGTCATCCATAGAGGTACGTCAGTCTTTTAAGCCTCGTTGATCTTCACTGTCTAGCAATAGAAAAATAAATATTTAGTAAGATGGTTAACTTGTTTATACCAACTCCTTTTGAGCCTTTGCTCCCCTTTGTTGTTATCATTTTTTGCCTCAGGTCATAACATCCCAAGAAAAAGAGATAACCATAAAAAGGCCAAACGGTGAGACCACAACAACCACGGTCAGAATCTGGAACGAAACTGTCTCTAATCTCACTCTGATGGCTTTGGGTTCGAGTGCTCCAGAGATTCTGCTGTCTGTTATTGAGGTGAGTCCAGGATGTGGCTGAAAGCTGCACAGAAGATCAGGCAATAAGAAACGGGATTGATAACCAGATTTATTTTAACCTCCTACCTGCAGGTTTGTGGTCACGGCTTTGAGGCCGGGTCACTTGGTCCTAGTACAATCGTGGGCAGCGCCGCCTTCAACATGTTCATTATCATTGCCCTCTGCGTGTACGTGGTTCCCGACGGAGAGACCAGAAAGATCAAACACCTTCGGGTGTTTTTTGTCACAGCAGCTTGGAGTGTCTTTGCCTATATCTGGCTCTATTTGATTCTGAGTGTTATTTCACCTGGAGAGGTTGAGGTAAGGATGCAGGTTTAGAATTGGGAAAAGGGAAGTGGAAAGCACTAAAAAAGAAATACCTTCACCCATTCTATTTTCCTCCACAGGTGTGGGAGGCTGTACTCACCTTCCTCTGCTTCCCTCTCTGCGTCGTACAAGCCTGGGTGGCTGACCGACGGCTTCTCTTCTACAAGTATGTCCGCAAGCGTTACCGTGCAGACAAGCACCGCGGTATCATCATTGAGACAGAAGGGGATGGAGGGATCGGAGGCATGGATGGAGGTGGAGGAGCGCTGGGTCCAGGTGGATTCACCAAGATGGATATGCTGGAGCTAGATGGACAGATTGCTCTGAACTGCCACAGTGGGATGGACGGAGGAATGATGGTAGAGGGGGGAAAGGATGAGGATGATGAAGCAAGGAGAGACATGGCGAGGACACTGAAGGAGCTGAAGCAGAGGCACCCAGACAAGGACATGGAGCAGCTGATTGAGATGGCTAATTATCAGGTACATTTACGTTAACCTGAATCTTAGAGGATTACATTTTTTTTTCTTGGAACATATAGAGATTCCTTTCTGGTTCACGTTCTATTTCAGAAGGTGGCAGTAATGCACACTAACAACTGTTTGCCAACCGCCGCTACAAAGAGCAGTTAGTTTGTTTCCGAATGCGAGTTTTACTTGATTTTGATTGGATAGCTTGTCTTTTTTTGAAAGCAAATCAGCTGGCCTCTGAATGATCTTTAGCCAGACTCTAAGTAGCTTTGAGCTTTATTCTGAAGGCCATTACCTACTCCCAGAGATGCGAAAATCTTCTTTTTGCTCCAAAAGCTGCTCTGTCTATGTGGTTCTTACTGTTAGGTATTGAGACAACATCTGGACTCAACTGTTTTGTGTCTAACAACAGTTGTGTGATTGATCAGAATTTGGACGGGGGTTGCAGGAAAAAATATAATGTCCCCCTTTTGTTCTCGGTTGGAAGTTCCTCCCTTATTTCAGGTGTAGAAATCCTTTTGGTAAACTCTCAATGGATATTTTGGGGATCGTTCGACCGAGACTGTGATAAAATACGAACATTTGTATATCAAATACGCTTTTTTTTCACTTAAATCGTTATTGTTTTTTTAACCATAACAGCAAAAAAAAGTAAACTGAACAAATAGCTGCCCAGGTAAAGCTTAGTGCCTTTTTAACATTATTAACATATCAATTAATTGTTCAAATATACTTATTTTTAAAACAAATATCCTACATTGAGAAGCTCCACGGTAGCACTCTGATCTAGTGCTAGCAAAAACCCATCCCCATGTGGTGATGTCAGAGGTAGAACCCTCAACAATCTATAATGGAGACGGAATCAGACCGTGAGCCGGAGGGTGATGGCTATATGACCACAGCTTCTCCAATAGAAAACACAGCTTGCTACACCTCTGAACCAGATCGCACAACCAATTATTACTTTCTAAATATAAATGACTTTATAACACTTTAAATGAACACAATTTTTCAAATAAATCCCCCATCACTGTTAAAAGAAATGATTTACTATATTCTTAAAGGTATAGCTTGGAACTCCACCTGCCCTTTGCTGCCAGGGTTGTTAGATCTGCATGTTTCCTTCCCAAAAATAATGTGAAACCTCACTGCCTCAATTAAAAAACAGCATAAATTCCATTTAAGCTTCTGTTAAAATCATGAACCTATGAAACACCTAATACAGTATGAAGAGCCACGTTATTATTATGAAGTTAGGCTTAGCTTCGGTGTTTCAGAAGCTAAGCACAGTAAGCTTTGAATCAAGACAGCAACATTTACGCTCCCCGTGGGCCTCCAGTTGTTTTCCAAATATTTTTTAAAATTTTCTCTTACCTCAACACATCTTGGTACACATGTGGAGCTTGAAGTGGAATTGCTGGGAGCGAAATTATGAGGTTCTTAACGACAATCCGTCCATGTCTGGCTCATACACTGATGGATTTTCTCTCTCCCTGAGGGGGACGCTGTAGGCATGGCTGTTAGCAGTTACTCACAGTAGATTCTCACTCAAGAACCAAGCGCCTCTCCTATTAAGGGAGGAAAATAAAAAACATCCTTCTCCAAAGGTTCCTAGCACAGAGGAGACTCCTTGGAGTACTCCAACTTCTCCTGATCTTGTCCAGCCTGCTCTACCCACTTTGAGAGCAGCTCAGGGTCCTTAGAAAACTTGAATAAGCCAATACCATCTCTTGAAGCTAAAAGCTCCAACACAATAGCTGTATCTTACTCCATTAAAACTTTAACTATGGTATTGTCTTTACCAATACCATGTTCCAAATCTTAAGTCTTTCTCCCTTAATCAATAGGCAGTGATACCCCGGCCGACCAAACTGAATTACACAGAGAGTAATTCAGTCTGGTAAACCACCGTTGACTCTGGCCAGATTTGGCTGGACCAATCAAAGCATGGAAGGCGGGACTTAGTGATGCTGTATTCTCATAATACAACAGCACTCTTCTGCTAGCATAACAAAATCTGGCGACCGCAATGGAGCAACGTTGTAATATAAGTCATGAATGTAATGAAGAACACACCTTATGTCCTGCTGGAGGTTCCTTCCTTTTAAAAAGAAGTTTTTCTCTCCACTGTCGCTACAAGCATGCTTGGTGGGAGGGTTGCTTTCAAGCCAATGCGTTAATGCAATCAGCTGGTTTTCATTAGATAGAAAACTTTAAACCAATCTGACTGTATGATCTGGTTGAATTGTCTCCATAGAGTGCCTTGAGATGACACTTGTTGTGAATTGGCACTATATAAATAAAAGGAATTTAGTTGAATATCCTCAAAAGCAGTTCAATGGAGAGTTTCTTCAGCGGCTTGACGTGTTTCATGAACTACAAAATTACAAAACCAGAACATGTCACCTGTAGTTTGTGCATCACACCTATAGATATCGGTTCTAACCTTATGATGCTGACCTTGTAATGAACTCAGATCGTTGAACCCAGAATTCAAGGCGAGACAGGCAGTGGAAAAATTCAAAGCGTTTTATTTTAAAACAAACAGGAAGGCTCATCAGGGCTGCTCGTCAGCTGTGGGGCGAATCTTTGCAGAGATAGGAAATACAGGTCAGTGACTGGATTGTGGGGCTGATCATGACTTCGAGCAAAAGTCACTGACCTGATTCAAAGTTCAGCCCAATCCCGGAGGAAATAGTTAAATCTAAATAGAAGATTAGTCCCCAGCTAGAGGCGGGCGCCCCCCCCCCCCCAGATTTCCTAGAGAGAGAGCAGAGCAGGCGGCAGCCGACGCCGAGAAGCAACAGTCTCCTTGAGGGGAAATCCAAAGCAGGAGTCAGGAGACAGGTCCAAGTTCAGAAGCAGAGTAGAATCCAGGAATCAGTCTAGGACAGATCAAACTAACAGAACAGACAGCGGCAAAGCAAAACTTGGGATCCACAGGGCAGAAACTGGTCACAATCAAGAAAACAGAACAAAATTCAGAACACTGGAGTTAATCTCACCAAACAGCTCGAATAACCTGGCACTGATGGAAGGCAAGCAAACAACATAAATAGCAGAGGAACCAGGTGGAAATGATCGCCTTTAATCAGCCGCTGGCCCAAGGCAAGGCAAGGCAAGGCAAATTTATTTGTATAGCACAATTCATTACAAAGACAATGCAAAGTGCTTTACATGATTAAAATACAGGAAGATAAAACAGAATCAAAGCAAGTTGGAAAAAAAATAAATAGAATAAAATAAAAAATGCAGAAACAAAAAAGAATATTAAAAATTAGAAAGTCCAATTAGACAGGTAAACAGGAAAAAAAGAAAAAAAACTGAACCATAATCAGTAGAATTGTACCAGGTTCTTACCAGACTCATACACCATGTATACATCTTATCAGTTTGGCTGGCCAGGCTTAAGTTTTGCTAGTGACCTTTAACTGGAAGAAGTATTTTGATTAAAAAAAATATTAGATGCTTACACCCTTGAAATAATTACATTATCATCTTTAATAATGTTTTGGTCTACAAAAAAAATACTAGAAAATGTTAATATCATGTCATTAACCCTTTAAATTTGAGCGGCTTGTAATGTAAATAAACCTGTTGTAAAATGGGTTGTACCAAGAGGGACACGGCTCAGTGTTTGGATGAGCAGAGGAGGTCAGGTGGAAGTGTTGTCAGCACAAGGGAAAGTGACAGTGGGACGGTGGAAGCTTTACGTATTTGTGTGTGTTTCCAATGCCAGAAATGACTGCCTTCTAATGCCTTTTCCTACAAACATAATATTGTTTCCAGCCAAGAGAGAGTTGATTGAATGTAATGATTTTAACCACTAGCGTAGCCAATTTGTTAATTTTCAATTTGGGACATCCTTAGGATTACAATTCAACCATGCAGTTTTATTAAAAATCATTTCTGTAGGATTGGTAAGCATCATTAGATTTGTATTTCATACTTTAAAACTGGAAATAAATATGTGGTGCCTTTCCAAAGAGGTGAACATTTATTTATAGTGCCATGACCAAGTATTGGCTACCTTAAAGTATCATTGTGATGGTATTTGTCTTCTAATAAACTGTATGGCTTAAAGTAAATTATGGAATCCTTATTTTTTGCTCGCTAAGAGAAATATCCAGAAGGAGAATTTTTCAGTTTGTGAAATTAACCTTAAAAGCAGTCAAGCTACGGGGAAGGGAAGAGGGTTTTGGAGTCTCCTAGTCAAAGTTTGGACTTAAATCTGATAGATTCATTGATCTAACATTGAATAAGCTGTTTATAATGGAGATCCTCAAATCTGACTGAATTTAAATAAATCAGAACAATGGATGAAAATTAAAGACTTGTTCTTATTCACTGCAAATTTAATGGCAGCTTGTAGCTTCATGGTTTGATAGGTTTTTCAATTAGTAAATGGAATCTTAATTTTGAAATGGTAATTTACCTCTATTTACTTTTTTGATATTGGAATGAATTTGATTATCTAAAATATTTTACTGTGTGTGCAGCACAGCAGATTTCCCTTCCCAGTTCCCCTCATGTCTGTCTGTTGATTGTGTTTTTAATCAGGTTCTGATGCAGCAGCAAAAGAGCAGAGCATTTTACCGCATCCAGGCAACCAGGATGATGATCGGAGCAGGGAACATACTGAAGAAGCACGCCGCTGATCAGGCTCGCAAGGTGAGGAGCTGAGACCTTTTCAGTTTGACATCCAACAGCTGTTGGATAACATTTCACCTGAGCGTACGCTTTTTCTTTTTCCTTTGTGTTTTTCAGGTAGTGAGCAGCAATGAGACTCAGACTCAGGAAGACGACCCTCACACCATTAGGATGGAGTTCGAACCCTCTTTATACCAGTGCTTTGAAAACTGCGGCTCCCTGAATCTTACAGTTGCCAGACATGGAGGAGACCCTGGAGTTACTGTCAAAGTGAGTTTCTATTAAAATTAATCACAGTCCACTGAGATTAACAATTTTTTAGAGGTGGAAGCTAAGAGACACAGCAAGAAATAAAAACAGGCACCAGAGGAAACAACCACTCAGAGCTCTAGCACTTTTGTCTTCATCTAATATTTCTTATAAAATGTTTTCCCCTCAAGGAGGTTTAGAAGTCCTTGTTATCTTTTGTAATTGGATGTTGTCATGAGGCTGAGATGATAGAAGAGTTTTGCAGTAAGCTGTGAGGCATGACAGAGAACACCTTCCTCTGCTGCCTTCCAGTTTTTAGCTTTGCATACGTCTTAGAAAAACTCCTCCTTTTGCAGAGACTGATTGATCTCAACCCTGAAACACAGACGGTGTCAGTAGTGTTTGTATCATTCTTGCATGTATATGTGGCTGTTTTGCATTTCCATTCATTTCTAATTCCTACTTAAACTTCCTGCTTTGCATTTATTGTCGAAAGGGGTTTGTGTTATCATTACTGTTGATTTATTATTTTTTTTAAAGAAATGTCCAGCTGTAGAAAATGGTTCTGGTTAAGGTCAATTTTTAAGAATCTTTTCAAAATCCTGAGTTTTTTTGTTTGTTTTTTCGCATTAGTCATGGAGGCAGAACCCCGCAGCACTCCCAGGTTGTTGCACTGCTTGTTAACACAAATGGTGAAACAGCCATGGCAACAGCTGAATGCATTAAGGCATCTAGAAGTACCGAAGAAAAAAAAATTTCACTAAAGCTTTAACTGTGCTCCAGAATGGGGAATTAAAGGGATTTATGGGATTTTGTACATTGAATGGTTGTTGGTGCTAAACAGGCTTAACTGAGTATTTCACAAACTGTTGATCTGCCGAGGTTTTTACACTCAATCTTTTATGCGATTCATAGATAACTGACAAATGGGTCAGTAAAAATAAAATGTTTTTTTGTAACATTACATAATGGGCAGATTTCTTTGAATGATAGAACAACAGTATCTCAAATAACATTTATTAAAAATGTGTGGATGCTGAATGCTATAGCAGCAAAAGATCACAATGAAAGCCACTCTTGCCAGCCGTCATTAGCAAACTGATGCCTCACCAAAATTGTTTGATAGCACAGGTAAAAGCTCCTTTTATCTGTCCGTAGCAAGAAGCAAATTTTCTGATAGGTTTCAAAGTCAGCTGCAACATTTAGATGGTAGAGTTCAGACCAGGGGCACAGGTAGACATTCTCATCATCAGGAGCTTAGTCCACAAAATATTGAATTATAATGAAGGTGATTCGGTCCCCAAAGGGCCTTCAGAGCCTTTACTGCTGGCCTAAAATCAAACAAAAACAAAAATCTTCACAACTTTAATTTTCTTCTGTCTAACTGCATTAATTTATTCCAAGTTATCTGTTTTCTTTATTTTGTAGCGTCTATATCTTGGCTGCACTTCTTGCATTACAGTTATGTGGTTGCTATATTTCCTTGTCCAATCAGATTTCAGCCTGATTGGACAAAAACCCCTCTCTGTGTTGCTATATCAATTAAATCTGCACAGAGCCTTCAGAATTAGCTGTGCTTTGCTGATCTATCCTTACGAATATTAGTAAGGAGCGTTTTCTTCAACCAATCAGATTTCAGTTTTTCACCACAGGGTCAGCTGGCGAACTCAAATGTCAACATTTTCTGTCCTCTGATTGGTCAGTTAGAGCAAAATGTTTACAGCTAGTGACAATCTGCATTTTGGATTCGCTTTTTTTTTTTTTCTTCTCAATGGCTGATACTAAATGGAGATACTAAGACCTCCTGCGCAAAGACAGAACGATGGATTTTATTATTTCAACCTGCACCTTATAGAGCAACAGGTTTTCTGTATTGATATCAAGCAGTGACGCCTTCCAAAATATATATATATTTTTTATTTCATTATTTATGAAACTAGGCAGACAGAAAATGGGATTAGAGAGAGGGGGGACACATGTAGCAAAGGTCAAAAGGCCAGGAGTCAAACATATGATTGCTGCCCTACAACTGCACCCAAACTCAGGATGGTTTGAGCAATGGTTGTGACACAGTTGCTTTATGCCTTACAAAGATTTTTTATCCAATTCTAAAAAAAAAAAAATCCCTAATTCTCTATTGTGTCACAATATTCCTGTCTGCCAGAGTAGGGCAACAGAAGAAGTCGATAAATAAAAAGACATATATAGATAATTGCAAAAAAAAGGATTAATCTCCCATTTTTTANGCAAGGCAGAGAAAGGATAGTGAAGCTCCGCCCAACGCGCGTCAGACACACTTTTGCACCGCGCAGCCAGAGCAGCAAAGCTGCTTCAGCCGCGCGTCAGAACTAACTGGTACAAGCAGCAAAAATGAAGCAGCAGACGCGATTTTACTGCTTTTGCAGCGTCCGATCTGAACGTAGCATTACAAAGATTTTTTATCCAATTCTAAAAAAAAAAAAAATCCCTAATTCGATATTGTGTTACAATGTTCCTGTCTGCCAGAGTAGGGCAACAGAAGAAATCGATAAATAAAAAGACATATATAGATAATTGCAAAAAAAAGGATTAATCTCCCATGTTTTAATTGAAAATATATGACATCAGTAGCCCGTACGTCTGGAAATGTAGAAATATTACATTGCCTTAGGACAGTACCAGAAATATCAGGCCGCCGAATGAGTGTTTTTGAAAATAAATTAAGTCGAGAATCTATCTGAGAGCATGCACATTTCATGAAGGGCTAAAAATAGATCCAGGCAAAGACATTACCCAGAGTCACACCAGCAATACGACTTCAGACATCAGCTTTCCCTGTCTTTTAGAGCTGTGTTATGTCCTTTTTTTGTTGTTGCTGTTCTCATCTGAATGTGAAAGATGGGTACAGTTATTAAGCAAACAGTATGAAATGAACATAGGAGATGTTTATTGTGCTATCTTCAAAGCCTTTCTTATTAAACTGTATCTGACCATAAGGCTTGGTTTAATGAGGATGTTTCTCTTGTTCTTTCTATCTCTCTCTTTGTCACCATCTCCGTCCCCATCCTCTCCTCTCGTCTGTGATCTCCCTTTGTGGTTAATCTGCCCTCTTCATATGTCTGCTATCTTTTATCTCTGACACCCTCCCCCTTATCTCTTTCCACTTTTTTATTTTTTTTCCTCCCTCTGCATTCCCATCTGCCCCAGGTGGATTATCGCACAGAGGACGGTACAGCTAACGCAGGCTCAGATTATGAGTTTGCTGAAGGAACACTACTGTTTAAGCCTGGAGAGACCCTCAAAGGTAATGACGAGCGCGATAGTAAAAATTTATGACATGTTTTCAAAAGCGATGTCACTGAGACTTGTGCTCTGATACCACAGATCATCTGCTGTCTACAGCCAGACAGATCAGTTTCTTATTTACTGAGTTGAGTTTGCACAACGATTTAGATGTGACTGTAAAGGACAAACTGGTCCAGTTTATATCCGGCATTGTAGATCACATTTCTGCCTGGATCAATGCATTTCCTTTTGTTAGATTAAAATCCAGCTGCATAAAATGATTATGCAGCATTAGTAATTCTGGGAAAGCACTTGGTAACAGTCAAGAGGAAACACTCTTTTTAACAGGTAGAAAACTAAAGCAGAGCTGGTGTAGATATCAGATCTTCTCAGGTGGTCAGATCTGGTCGGGCCCTATGCATGCCTGTGACATTACATTTTATGATTGGCTGAACGTTGCCACAATGACTTAAAACATTGTGGTTGCCCAGACAACTATAATAACATAATGTATTATCCGTGTGCCGAGGCAGGAGCATCTTTAGTGTTAGTATGTCTGATCAATGAAGTTTTAACTGATAGATAACAAGACTGAAAATATCTGTTTTTGGTGAACTAAGTACCTACAAGTATGAACTATGAACTAGCGTGACAGTGAAGGCCCCATACCTATCGTAAAAGAGTAGCAATGGCTACAGTTGGCTGGAATGATGCAGTCATTGGTCCCATCCAGGTATGAAACAGCAACAATCAGAAGGCAAACTCACTTTCTATTAAGTGAAATCTGAACAGAATATAAAGTTTGTAGCTGCAGCTACATGAAAAACTGCCTAGTGGAGATACATAGCTCTAAGTGTACTTTCTATTATCTAAGAAAAAAAAAAAGGGAACCAAGGCTAAACATAAAAGCAAGGAAGTGCATCTTACATTAAAAGAAAAACCATAAAGCATCTAAATTGAAAGCAAGAGTCCCATCAATAGTTTTGTCCAGTAAGAGAAACAGCTGAACACAGAAGCTCTGGATCATGGTGCACTTTCTATTGGAGAGAAATGTAAAATAAACCGGATTTCTGTTCCTTCAATACTATGTCCTGATGAATTTCTCCTCCAGAGATTACTGTCGGCGTCATTGACGATGACATCTTTGAGGAGGATGAGTACTTCTACGTTCACCTCAGTAACCCTCGTGTTGTGGGCTGTCCTGAGATAGGCACCGCCCCAGTGGATTCCACCCTTCACCCGAAAGCCGTGCTTGGAGATAACCACACAGCAACAGTCACCATCTATGATGACGACCACGCAGGTGAGGTGCACCTTTCATCTTACAAGAATATTGTCAACTTAATCATTATTTATGTTGTTGATTAATATTTAGGATCAACAAGAAACCACTTTTAAGAAGGATTTACATACAAGCACTTTAACAAAAATGTTTCAGCACCACTGCATGCTGTTAATGTGTCTAGAAAAAAACGCAGCAAGACAATCATTCTTGATGTTCTTGATTTAAAACAATGTTCTCTAAACTAACAGCTCACAAACTAACTAAATTTTAATGTAAATCTGCAACATATATGATTAAATGCAGCTAAATTACTTCATTAGAAATCAAAGCAGTTGATCAGCCATTTCTAATCAGAATTAGAATCTCAATTAAAAAACTTATTCTGATAGACACCTGATCAGAATCAACATAAATGATGAACTAAAACATTTTCATCAATCCACCAATTTCTAATCCAGAACCACAAGGAAGTAGAGTGAAGGATTCAGGCAAGGTTGGTGGTAGTATTTTAAAATTTTAGTTCCTCCCACGGTCCTTTTTTTAAATAGATAAACAAAACACCAATGAATATCTATCATTAGCGATGCTGACTGATAAGAAAGGCTTATATCATAATACGTTTTTCAGCCATGATGCCCAGCCCCATTTGGAAATATAAAAATTGAAGACTTCAGATCAATAAAAATCACTTTTACTTTTATTCAGACCATCGTTTAACACTTTAAAAAGATAAAAGGCTAATTCTTTTCAGTGTGAACTTCATTCGAAGTTGCACAACTTTAACTGACTCCAAAGTTAATAAACATGTTAATCTTTTCCCCCCTGATATTGATTTTCCTCTTTATGCACTCTGGCATAAACCTTGGAGAGCAAACTGCTGAGGATGTAGGTATTTATCAGCCTCCTTTCTTTCTTCAGGCATCTTTACATTCGAAAGTGCCAGTCAGAGGGTGAGTGAAAGCGTAGGTGTGATGGAGGTGAAGGTCATGCGCACGTCGGGGGCCCGGGGTCTGGTAGCTGTCCCTTATCGGACCGTGGATGGAACCGCCAAAGGAGGGGAGGACTATGAAATGGCTGCCGGAAAGCTGCAGTTTCAGAATGATGAGACCATGTGAGTAAAAAAAAGAAAACATGAGATCTGCTGTGTTTTCTTGTACTTTTAATCCTAAATTTAAAATGTAATGAAGTGGTTTCTGTCTAAAAGCAGGTTATCATTACAATAACCCTGCTTTTTTTGGTATGCTTGTGTAGATTAAACATATACAAACTCTCAGAGTTACTCCTGCGTCCTTGGGCACATGCATTTTTAATATGCTGATGTTAGCAGTGTTAAATTGACCAATACATAAAGCAATTGGGACTGCAGTTTCCTTGGGGCCTTATGGGGCTCATAAAGCTCCCACTCTCTGTGTGTTTGTGAGTGTAAGTGGATTAGTTTGGTCCAACTTTACAGGGATTCTTATGAAGGTGTAAATATACTAGGCATTTCCCCTTTATTAGCAGCTGTATAGATTTAGAGGTAAGAGGTTTTTCAGTTTATGGTTTCGGATTTTTGGAAACACCACACAAAAGCTCCAAGTTTCCCTGAGAGGAAGACCGAGGTTATTGACTTTATGCCTGCCTGAGCACTCTCCTACTTTGTACTTTAAATTGTTTCCAAGCTGTTTCTGTGAGGGCTCCTTCAGTCTAAAAAAGAACTTGTTGGTTTGCCATTTGAGCTATTTCAAGGAAAAAGAGGGACTAGAAATAAACTAAGGAACAGTTCAAATGCTTACCTTGAAGGCTGAAAGGCAATGTTAAAGGTTAGAAATGATGAAGGCTTATTAGGTTGATTTATTTCAACAAGTCAGAGCTGAAATAAGCTCAGTAAACGGCAGAACCATTTGGGTTTCATTTTATAGTGTGTTTTTTCAGTTGATCATGTCTTAAGGTTATATAAGCATGGCTTTTTTCAATAAGCAAAGTCTGGTCTTTGCATCCTAACCCCCAATCCAAGAACAGAACTTCTCCTCATGAGGACCAGTCAGTCCCAAGAATTAACTGTAAGTCCCCACAACGTGGCATGTTCCTGGGAAATTGTTCCTACATTGAAACTATGGCCACACACACACACACACATTTGGTGTTCTTGTAGTGAGGACCGTGTGTTGAATATTGACTTTCATTGATTTTTAGTCATTTACAATCCTTTCTCTGCCCCAATCCTTACTGACTCTAACCTGCTGATGAATCTAGAAGGTTAGAGAGCACCAACAAAATAAAATGCAAAGGCTTAAAACCGCTTATTTTACATCATCCACGATGTTTCCTTTGATCTGAATCCAGACATCTAATGGTGTAACTATTTTAGGAATGCTAATTTTATTATTTCATTATCCCAAGGGGTCGCTGAGTTTAACGTTCATAATCAAAAAACACTTACTCTATTCCTTTAACTACAGGTTATAAAACCTTCTGTAGTCCAGCTTTGATAAATGATGAGCCTTTTTTTTTATTCGGCCTCCTGTTTTTGGCTCCCATTTTGAAAGACAGCCATGGAGCCGGGGGAAAAGGGGTGCAGGAGGATAGTTTTGGCTAAACGGTGAGGGACAAAAGCTGTGAGCTTCTTAGGGAAAACCTGAAGGCTAGGTTGACAGTAAAGGAGGAAAAAAGGATCAATATTCTGCTGTTTTCATGTAAATGAGTGGGAGTAAAGTGAGTGAGAGGAACGCCTGGAGTGGAGACCTCAGCAGGGTATTGATTCCTCCCTTCAGTCATCTATCTAGTAGCCTCACCCTATTTTTTGTTGCTTGAGTTCTCACATTTTGGTCTGGGATTTTCGATTTTCATAATTTATGACTGACCTATAATTAACCATTTACCTTGCTTCCATTCCACCTCTGAAGCTAAAGTGTTATCGCTGTATTTAAGGGTGTAGTTTAAGCTGCCTAAAAATCTCCAGTGGATTCACTTTTGAGCACCTCTCCAGATTTCTTCTATTTACTTATATGAGGGTATAAACTTTCCACCCACTGTTTTAAATTGTATCCATATATGGTGTTGCTATGAAGAAACCTAACTTTGGGCAACATCCGGTCATGTGATGTGTTCGGATATGTGTGATGTTTTTGGTACGCCGCCCTTGTACAATAGAGATTGGTGGGGTTAAAGCCACAATAATGAGGCTGCAACTGATGGCCCAAGTCTCACAGTCGATTTCTCCATCGCAAGTCCCTAAAGCTAAGTGAACAATCTGCATAGTGTGCGGGGACGTTTGAGTCATCGTTGCCTCTTTAGCAGTGATGCAAATGAGAGGTATACATGATGTGTGAGCATTACTTTTCTATGGCGATATTTCTTCCTTTGCCTTTTGAAACACTGATACTGATGGTTTGACCTCTGTACTATTATTGTTTGTATGGTTGCCTAAGGGTTAGAACAGAAGGCCTCTGTCTGGAGAAGGATGCAAGTTCCCTGGTTTGAATCCCACAGACTTCTACTGTTGGTCCCTGAGCAGGACCTTTAACGCCTAAAGTGCTACCCGAAAGGATTGGCTAACTTTGATAAAGACAAATCTTGTAATGCAAAAAGCAGCAAATGCAGGCCTGATTAAAAAAGTAATGTCCCTTTTTTATTGACTACATTTTTTTTTTTATTGAATATGAGATAGCTTTTTCTGTAAATTTCAGTTTTGTCCCACTTTTTCTATCCAGGCATTTTGGTTAAAAAGTTTTTAAGTTTTGTTCTTATCCCCTTTTTATTCTTTTCTTTCAGTTGTTTATCATTTCATTTTAGAAGAATTTTTTATTTTTTTTATTTTTTATTTTACTTGCCTTTCTCTTTTTTTCTATATGTTTCTGCCTAACCTCTCTTTCCTTCTTTCCATATATGTCCACTTCTTAGTGTTCCTTTTCTCAGTTGCTCTTCTTTCCTCCTTCACCTTTACCTCCACCTTGCTTTCATTTTGTATATTTTTAATAATTTGCATATTTCCCCTCTGCCTTTAGCATTTGCATATTGTTACTGTCAGACCTTCTTCCTCCTTTTTTACCCTCCTCACCCTCCTCTTCCTAACACCTCCTGCCTCTGCTATTTTCTGATGTCATCATCTCTGCCTCTTGCTATCTAGTTCTCTACTCAGAGAAGAATTAACTGTTCGTCCATTCTTTTCGAACCTTCAGTCTTTGCAATTGCTTTGTTTCTGTAATTTAAGCCACTCAAATAAAATTTGTCACATTTGTTAGTCATCTAGAATATAGTGTTACATTAAGCAGGAGGATTAAAGACTGAAAGACAGAGAGAGGGATAAATTCGGTCTTAACGTTTCTCTGAAAACCTTTCCGAAATCCTTTAAACAGAACTTTACAGACCCTTAAAACAGAGAATGTATTAAAGGTGCATTTTTATTAGATTGAATCTGCTGACTGCTAAAAGGGTTTAGTCAATGACAGAGTGTAAAACCATATTGAAGTTGAAAACATTATACAGAAAGATAGTTGGGTAACCAGTGGGTCACAGATTTACTAAACATTTCAGTTTGCTTCAGTTTAAAGTGTTTTTTCCCAATAACTTGGTTCCAGTTTTTAACAGGCAAGGTAGTTTTGTCAACTTGAGGGGGTGATGTTGCTTGAGGCCCCAAATGCAGAGATGAGTAAAGCAGAGATGAGTTCTTGTCAGTTTAATGGAAAAACTGAAGCTAGCATTCGAAAATAGAAAATATAAAGAACCAACAATTAAAAAAAACATCAAGAAAACCCATGTGGAACAGGCTAATCAGCAGAGATGAATAAACAACTAAAAACAACAAGGAACGAGCAAACACTGACTGAACATGAGGTGTATAAATGGGAGACCGAACAAAGACCAGGCTAATCAGCAGATTGGGAGCAGGTGTGGACGGAGGAGTCTAGAAGGGAGCTAGGGAAAAATAGACTGACACAAGAGAGCAGCAGAGGGCAAACAATACCTAAGAAATCAATTACAATAACAAATATCTAGAAAGTAGAAAACATGGAATGACATGAATCAAATTATAACTGAAAACTCAAAAGAGTACTCAAAACTTAAACAGAACCAAAAAGTGCAGAGTCATGACAAGTTTACATCTTTTAATTAACGACCTACAAAGTGAGGCTGAAAACTCAGACTGGCTTTGGGGGAAAAGTATGGACAGTTTAGAGGAAAGACATACTTTTGTCAGGTTAATGTAGACCAGCTTCAAAGTTATATTTGCAGAGCAGTGTTAGAGAGCAGCTGTGAAGTAGAGCTGGTACAAGCAGTGCTCTATCAAAGCAATAGGCACTTGCTTGATCCACATTGCTTGCTCAGTTTATATAAGACACGACATTCAGTGCTCACCTTTGGGTCATGTGTCTGAATTATTTTGTAAAAAGGCCTAAATTAGCAGAGGTATTCTGCATTCAATTCAACCAGTCATGCAGGGTTTTCAGTGATATTGAATGGTGTTTATTTATTTGACAGATGATCACAAAAAAGGACAAAGTTATAAAGTGAAGGGTAAGAAAATAGAAATAAAAACCATATAAGTCTTGTGTGTCTCTTTATTTCATACCCCATAATAAAATCAGCAACTACTATTTCTTTTCGAAGAATTATCTACAATCTACGAAGTCAGTTTTACTTCACCATTAAAAAGACAAAGGTAAATGGATTTGTTGGGATTTTATTTGGCAAACCAACAATATCTGTAAAGTTAAGGTGACCAAATGTCACTGAAAGCTACTTGTGGTTGTATATGTCAACATACTGAGGGGTGTTAATATTTTTGCAGGCCTGTAAGTAAGTGGTGTATATTTTCTGTTGTAGAATGGGGCAATTTGTTTTGAGAACAAAACTATTCCTATCATGTCGACGATTGTTTAAATCCATATATGATCTTGTAGTGGGAGCCATCTTTGATGTTTTGCGCCACATGTAGAATGGTGACATAGATCTATACCCTGTGTTGCAGATCCAGAGAAAACATGTTGTTTGCCTCAGACATGGGTCAAAGGTCAGGCTCCTCTTAGGACAGAGACACAAAAACATGACTTCTTCCTGTAGGATGTGTGCACATCTACACATAGGTTTTGTAAACTGAGGAAATATCAGTTTACTCGTGGCAGCAAGCTT